CCTTCCAAAATATAGCACTGTGCACTTGTCTTTATTGAATTTCATCTTGCTGAGTTTTGGATTATCTCTTTAATTTGTCAAGATCACTTTGAGTTCTGGTCCTGTCTTTCAGTGTTGTCCTTAAATGTTACAAGTGTATGCTCTACTCCATCATCCATGTTATTAATAAAAATGTCTAGTAGTACCTGGCCCAGGAAAGAAACCTGTGGGTCCTTGCTTGATTTATTCCACCATCCCCACAACACAGTTTGACAGTGAACCATTGACAACTATCTTTAACAGGGATTTTCAACCAGATAGGCACCTCCTAATTTTTCTTATTGCAAATGTTGTGGGACAGTTCAATAGTCTTACTGAAGTCAAGGTATGTCGAATCAGCTTCTTCCTTCCTGTTTCTCACCACCCCTTCCCTGGCCCCTTTGGCCAGTTATCCTGTCAGAGAAGGAAATTTGGTTTGACATGATCTGTTTGCTACAAATCCATGCTTTTATTTAATCATCTTTTTATATATTTACAAATTGGTCATTGAATAAATCATTCCAGAATACTTCTGGGGAATCAAAGATAGGCTGGTTTATGCTTGCCTGGTTTCTCCTTTTTTTAAAACTAGGAGCTATATTTGCTCTTTTCCAGTTCATCAGAGGCTTTCCCTGTCCTCCACAAATTCTCTAAGATAACTGCCAGTGGTTCAGAGATTACTTCAGCTTGTTCTTTAAGGACTCTGGGATGGATTTATTTAGGCCCTGGCATCTTGAATATGCCTATCTTATCTAAACATTCTTTAACCTGTTCTTTCCCTGTGCACCTATCTCCTTGAACAAATCATTTCTATGAAGTATCTGGTCACAACAAACCTTACTTGTGAATATTAATGTAAAGAAGGTGTTGAATACTCCAGGATTCCCTGCATTCTTTGTTGTTTGCTTTCCCTCCTTGTTAATAAACACACCTCTGCTTTCCTTTGTTTTCCTCTTACTTCAAAGATATGTATAAACCTTTTCTTGTTACCTGTTATGTCCCCTGCTAACTGAAACTCTGGTCTGTGCCTCAGCCTTTCTGAATTGATTCCTAGATGCCTGTGCTGTTCCTTTATTCACCCCTAGTCACATGCCCTTGTTTCCACTTTTTTGCATGCATCCTTTTAGCTTTTCAGGTCATTATCAAGTTCCTGATAGAGCCACAATGGTCTCTTACTCTGCTTCCTGTCTCTTCTACCTATGGGGATAAGTTGCTGTTGTGCATTTAATACAGCCTCTTTGAGTACCTGCCAGCTCTCCTTCACTCCTTTATCTCTTTCGGTTATCTATCAAGGGGACCCTGCATACCAGTTTCTTGAAATCTGTTATCCTGATTCTGTTATTCTCCAAGGGACTTGGGGAACATCACTGACCACAAGATGAACATGAGCCTGCAATGTGATACTGCTGCTAGTAAAGCAAGCAAATTGCTGGCTTGCATCCACAGATGCTTCTCAAGTAAATCCCAAGACCTCATTCTCCCATTGTACTCAGCCTTGGTGAGGCCGCAGCTGGAGTACTGTGTCCATTTTGGGCTCCACAATTCAAAAAGGATGTGGAGAAGCTTGAGAGAGTGCAGAGGAGAGCCACGCGCATGGTCAGAGGTCAGGAAAGCAGACCTTATGAAGAGAGGCTGAGAGCCATGGGACTCTTCAGCCTGGAAAAGCACAGGCTCAGGGGCGATCTGGTGTCCACCTATAAGTTCATCAGCGGTGTTCACCAGGATCTGATGGAACATCTGTTCACCAGAGCACCCCAAGAGATGACAAGATCGAATGGTCACAAACTCCACCGCAACCGATTCAGGCTGGACATAAGGAAGAACTTCTTTACTGTCTGAGCCCCCAAGGTCTGGAATAGACTGCTGCCAGAGGTGGTTCAAGCACCTACTCTGAATGCCTTCAAAAGACATCTGGATGTTTATCTTGCTGGGATCCTATGATCCCTGCTGACTGTCTGCCCTTGGGGGAGGGGACTGGACTCGATGATCTTCCAAGGTCCCTTCCAGCCCTAATGTCTGTGAAATCTATGTACCCTGCCATTCAATGAAAGGGGAGAGCACATGGCATCACAACAGACCTAATTTGACCAGGTATCTTGGCTAATAGGAATGTATGGAGGTATAAGCCCTTTACACAACAGCTCCTATTGGGCAGTGCTCCACAACAGGGAACTGCCCCAGAGAAGGAAACTGTTCACCTGTTTCCATGAACGTGACATTTGCCTCCCCCCCCACCCCCCATGCTTTGGCAGTTTGCCCATCAATCTGCTCCATGGCTGTATGAGTGGAGCAGCAGTGTGCTAAGTTTATGGGAGCATGGGCTCAGAGGTCTGGGCTTCCTAGCAGGCATCTCACCCTAGGGCTTGCACTTGTCCTCTCCACTTCTTGCTTTTTTAGCTGCACTTGTCTAGCTGTGGTTTAAGGAAAACATTGTATTGTCTTATAATACTAGCTTTGCACTTCTTAGAAAGTGGTAACATGAGCTTTGGATGGTAGTGATGGCCCAGCTGTCACTGTACAAACACTCCCTGAGCAGTGCTTCCGCTGTCCCTCCTGACTGAGCTCCTCTCCTTATGTCTTACTCTAGGCTTCCCCCACTCCATAGCACTGCTGATGCACTGTTATCAGGACCTTCTGCTTCTCCTGCTTCACACTGTTCCAGCCTGGGTTCCTCCATTGCTATGTGGATATCCCACACTACTGACTTTTGGAGTTCAGTGAGAAAACTGTACCAAACTGCTGTTCCATAATGGCCCACCAGGGGCTTTCTTGCTTCCCTTTTCTGAAGAAGTTGGTCCTAATAGTTGTTGAAGGGAGGATCCTGGGCTGGACTGGTGTATCCAGTAACCTTCAGTCATCTTGTGAGCATCAGCCCAGTCAACCTGTTCCATCTGTGGTCAAACTTCTCATCTTCCTAACTAGTAGCTATGGAGCAACTGTTCCAAAACATTGCGGCAGAGGGCCCAAAATCTGAGCCACTAATATGTGTTTCCCATGATCCATGCAGCTGCATGTCTATTTCCACAGGCAATGAGGTCTCTTGGCCACCATAAATGCAACCAGCCTGCTAACTTAGAGAGGTACAGGGATGGAGAGAGGGGTTGGGGGAAAAGAGGCTGGTGTCCTCACGGTGTCAAGTTCACCTGGCACCTAAATGGGCCTCCCCTTCCCCCAAGTCCTTCAGTCACCATCTTCTACCCCCTCTTCCTAATGGTGTTTGCCCTGAGAAGCTGTCTCCTGGGGTAGAACTAGCTGCTGGGGAGGTGCACTCTAGATTCAACGTATGGGTTCTGAGTGGGATACATGAAGCCATACCTTTTGAGGTGAGCACAGAGCCACTGTTACAGGCAGGGGATGTCTGGAATATGGAATGGCAGCACATGGCTGGGGTAGGAATGGGGAAGGGGCTGACAGACAAGTTCCCTCCAAGGAACTGAGCTACAGTCCTGCTTAGACACCAAGTAGCGCTGCTGTGCTCTGTTTGTTCATCAACATTTGAGCCTAGCCTCATTCCATAAGTGATGACCAGGGATCCTGGTTTTCTGTTTAAAAATCGAAAATTCTCTGATTTAATTTTTTTTTTTAAACCAACTGCAAATTCTCTGATTAAAAAAAAAAAAAGAAAACCACATTTTTTCCACAATTAAAATGAAACACCACTATATATATATATATATAGAGAGAGAGAGAGAGGTGTCAGTTGCACACAATGTTTTATTGATATATTTACAATTTTAAAGCATTTTGGAAGCCTACCAGTGCCTCAATTATAATAAAATAAATTCTAAATACCCATATATTTTGGCATTTGATTTTGGGTTTTTTATCACGGAAAATCAGAGCGCCCCCTGC